GAAACAGGGCATTGTTTCCTGTCAAAAAGGGCTTTTTTGGCCCTCTTGTGCGTGCTACACCTGGGGAATTACCAGTGGCATCACTCAGAGCTGACCAAGCTGTTGTTGGACTTCTGAGGAGAGCACAGCGAGTGCTCTGCAATATGATTTTAAAGCACTCACTCCCTGCCACCATTTAATAATAATCCTGTTCCCACAGCAGAACAAATTAGGGGCCATTTCCAGAGGAGAGATCAAAGATTCAGAGCCCACACAAAAAGGCAGAAAGCACCAGTCCCTCCTGGGCTGATGTCAAGAACCTGTGAAACCTGAGCCTTCCCCAACCTCATTTTATTCCTCCAGACCGACCCCTGTGCCTCAGCCAGGTGAAATCCCTGCTCTGCCCAAGCTCTTGGGTGTTCAGAGCCTTTTCCTGCCTTCCTGGCAAAGCTGCCCCGTTTCCAGAACCATTTCTCCACATGGAAAGGGATTTTTGTCCCCTCCAGTATTCCCAGGCTGTTGTGCCAGGCTGTCCCCTCCATCTCCCAGGATTTAAAATGCTGCCCCAGGGCTCAGCAGCAAAACCCCAGCAGAAAATCCCCTCAGAAATACCTTCAGGTATGAGAAAGCCCTGCTGGAGCAGCCACAGGAGTGGGATTGCTGCATGGACACTGTGAGGGATCTGTAAAACACTCAGAGATGTTACAAATCATCACCTAATTAATTAATCTGAGTTTTACTCTTCCTGATCTTCCTTGAGGAAGGAGTGAGAGCTGCCAGTCTGGATTCTGGCTCCTGGGAGAACAGCTCAACAATGGGGTGGGGGAATTAAAATGCCTAATATCATTTTTTTTTCCACTTTCAGGATATATTTTGCCCATCTCCCAGCTGATTTCTCCACTCAGCTCCTGGCCCCACATGAATTCCAGGGCTGGGGACAGGCTGGGAGGGTGGCAGGGAGAAAGGAGCCCTTCCCACCAAGAGGAAACCCACCTGATCTCCTCCTTGTTGTTGAGCTTTATATTTTTTTGGTCAGAATTGGGATTAAATGTGCTAGAGGGTATTTCTTGTTCAGACTTAGATATTTATTAGTTTTTATCTATATTACAGTTTCACAAATTGTGAGTTCTACAGCACTTAAACAAACTAAAAATGGAGCCCTCTTTCTCTCCAAGGTTTTTTAAGGATAAACTGTCCAATTAAAAAATGACACTGGAATTATTTTTACTTTTAACTTAATAACTAACTACTTGTGGCTTGCAAGGTGGACTTTTTTATCTAATTACATTATATTATCTAAACTTATGAGGAAGAAAGTGAAGAAGGAGTAGCTTCTGCCTTAAAACTTCTATCTTGCTTTACATATATATATATGATATATGTATATATATATACACATATATCATATATATTATATGTATATAATATATATATGATATACATATATCATATATATATAATATGTATATATTATATATGTATATACATAATATGTATATATATATATCATATATGTATGTATGTATTACTCTATTCTAAAAGGTTAAACTCTAATTTTTCTACTAGGTGATATTGCACATTTCTATTTAAACTCCACACTTATAATCCCAGTTCTATCATTTAATTTTGGAAGCTTTCTCCACAGCCTCAGGTCAAATGCAATTTTCTCTTGGGGGTCAGTGCCTGTTATCACAGAAAGCCTCAAATTCTCAATAACCAGGGTTCCAGCACTCCTGCCCCCTTCCCTGCAGCCAGATTTTCCTGCCCATGGATTCTTTCTTCGAGAGCAACCTCCTCCTCCTCCTCCTCCTCCCGGAGCTTTCAGGCAGAGGCAGCATCAGGAATAAATGTATTGCCACCTGCAGCCTGCTTGGGAAAGAGCTGCTGGAATCTGCCCTGCAGGCTGCTCTGACAACCTGCTGCTTCCAAATCCCTCGGATTTTCAGGGATGATGGGCATCAACCCTCATTTCAGCGTTGTAGGAGTTAATTAGTTTGTTTTATTTCTAATTTTGATCTGTGCCCAGAGATGGGAGCTCGGGGTAAACAGGGGAGTTTCCATCTGCTGATGTTATTTACAAGCTGGGGTGATGTTATTCAAACCTCAGTGTAAAAAAATGGGGTTAAAATCTCCCTTGATTTTAATGTTCCTTTTTATTTTGTGACCAAAACTTCCCTGTTTTTAGTGTTAAATTCACCCAGGGATCCACAGCTTTGCAGAGATGGGAGTGAGTGTGTTTATATGTATTTTAAGTAATTTTACCTTTAAAAAATGCAATGTTATGAAATATTAACAGTTAAAGTATCAGTGACTGCGCTCTTAGCCAGATCTGCTTTGTTGGTTTTTTAATACATGTAGGAAAAAAAAATCTTATTTGCCTGAAGAACACGTCAGAACTTGAACAGATGGGAGTTTTTACCAAAAGGAGACTGTTTTGTTCAGACATCATTCCCTTTCCAAAACCTCAAGCAAAGTTTTATATCTTTCAGCAAATCTTGGAGTGGGATTATAAATTCAAAATAAAAATACAGAAATTTCCTATGGTGAGCTTATAAATGCCAGTTTACAACATTTTCTGGTGTCTTAATGAGAGCCATGTGACCAAAGCTATATATTCTAGGAAATAGCCAAAAGGCACATATGCTTTTACAAGCCCATTTTTAAATGCAGAGGACTGATTTTCACAGTTTTAACACAAGAGGTTATTATCCTTTTTTAATTAAAAAATTACTGGCTTATTTTAATTTTTTTTCCATTTTCAACAAGCTCTGCACTGCTGGAGAGAACAGAGTTCTGTCTCCAGAGACTCAGTGCAGTGCAGGGATCTTGATATTCACCTGGCAGCTCCCAAAATCCCAAAGACATCAATTTTCCATGCGGATATTCCCCTGACAGATCGCAAAATCTTAGCGTCACCCATTTTCCATGCTGATTTATCCCTGGAAAATCCCCAAAAAATGTCACCCATTTTCATAGCTCCCAAAATCCCAAAGTCACTCATTTTCCTTGCTGATATTTCCCTGGCAGATCCCAAAACCTCAGTGTCACCCATTTTCCATGCTGATTTATCCCTGGCAAATCCCAAAAAATGTCACCCATTTTCACAGCTCCCAAAATCTCAAAGTCATCAATTTTCATGTTGATATTCCCCTGGCAATTCCCAAAAAACTCACCCATTTTCCATACTGATTTATCCCTGGCAAATCCCAAAAACATCACCCACTTTCCCCTCAGTGTTGCTTTGGTTGTGTGAGTGTAGCACCAATGATGATTTCAGACTGCAGCACCATTAAACCACATTTATTTTCCTTCAACCCAGCAAAATAAAACAGTGACCCTAATGGCACATAATGGTGTCAGTGGGGGAAGACTCGGGGCTGTTCCTAAACCTCTCCAGCTGTAAATTGTCAGTTCTGGTGTCACAGCAGGGCTGAGCTTTCTGCTCCTCACAGCCCCCAGCCCCATTTCTGCTGTCAATAGGGATGTTTGTCCCTGTTGAATGCCCCTGATGGGTTGTAGCCTCTAGGCATCCTCCCTCCCCATCCTCAGCTCCGGGAAAAACAGATGGGGACAGGCACTAAAAGGGTGAGAGCTCCCTGTGGTCGGAGTTCTGGATGCTGAGAATTTGAGATTTTCTGTGCTGCCAGGCACTGACCCCCAAGAGAACACTGCATTGACCTGAGGCTGTGTGAGGAGAAACTTCCAGAATGGAATGGCAGAACTGGGATTGTGGGTGTGGAGTTTGATAGAAGTTTGTGATATCACAGGGTGGAAACTCAGAGTTTGGGTGTTTAGAATATAGTAATAGATATAAAGTAAGATGGAAGTTTTAGGGTGGAGGCTGCTCCTTCTTCTTCACCTTCTTCATTCATCTTCAACTTCTTCCTTCTTCACCTTCTTCTTCACCTTCTTCTTCCTTCCTCTTCCTTCTTCTTCACTTTTGTCCTTCTTCTTCACCTTTTTCTTCACCTTCTTCCTTCTTCACCTTCTTCTTCACTTTCTTCTTCCTTCTTCTTCAGCTTCTCCTTCCTTCTTCTCCATGGGTTTGGGTGGTTTTGTGTAATTGGACAGAAAAGTCCACATTGTGGACTTTGAGTGATCAGTTATTGGGTTAAAAGTTAAAATAATTTAGGTGTCACTCCTTAATTGGACAGTTTGGCCTTAAAAGACCTTGTAGCAAAAGATTGTTGGGCGTTTTGTGCATTGTTAGTGGAGAGCTGCAGAACTCACTGCAGTGAGACTGTAACCAACACCTGCAATATTTCCAGTGGAGCTTCCAGGGCACATGGGGCACACCCCAGGGTGGGTGCTGTGTCTGTTTGTCCTAAATGTCAGCTCCAGGTTCAACTAAACCCATCAGCTGCCAGCACTGAGGCTGAGGGAGGAGGAAACTCACTCGGTCAGGGACAGGAGAGGTGCAGGGATGTCCCTCAGCCCAGGTGGCTCCTTGCTGGACTGGTTCTCACTGGGATGGAGCTGATTTTCTTCCACTGTGGGGCTGGGTTTGGGGTTTGTGCTGAGCACAGGGTTGATAACCTGGGGATGTTTTTGTTATTGTTGAGCTGTACTTGCACAGTCAAGCCTTTTTCTGCTCCTCACCCCTCCAGTGAGGGCACAAGGAGCTGGGAAGGGACACAGCCAGGACAGCTGACCCCAAGTGACCCCAGGGACACCCCAGGCCATCCATGTCAGGCTCAGGGGATGAAGGAGGAGGAAGGGGGGGACATTTGGAGTGGTGGCCTTTGTCCTCCCTGCTGTCCTGGGGATGGCTGAGCCCCTGCCTGCCATGGGAAGTGGGGAATGAGTTCCTTGTTCTGCTTTGCTTGCATGTGTGGCTTTCGCTCTAATTATTAATCAGTCTTTATCTCAGCCTAAGAGTTTTCTCAGTTTTACCCCTCTGGTTCCCTGTGGGGCTGAGCTGCTGGGGCTGGGGTCAAACTACCACAGCTGGAATCTCTGCTGGCACCTGGAGTGTCCGAGTGGACCACAAGATCAGCACGTGACCCCCAGACTGTCCATAGGAGCCTTCAGGGGCACCAATTTAATCATTAAATATTTGCATGTTTCCAATTAAACAGAGCCCAGGAGACTCTGCAAGCCTGGGATGGGCCATGGATGAGTCCTGTGCTCCCCTCCAGCACTGCCTGGTGGGCCAGGGAAGCTCTGGCTGTGCAAGAGTTAAGGGCTGGGGGCTGGGAATTAATTAACATCTTCCATCTTCATCTGATCTCAGGTGGATACTTAATGTTTTTGTCTGCAGAGGTTTATTTTCCTCCAGATTGATTGGATGAATTGTGTTCCCAGAGATCAGAGAGTTCAGATGGCAGAGGATCCTCTTACCAGAAGATGAAAGCCAACATAATCAACTGCACAACTTCAAAACATGCAGCTTGTTCTTGTTGGCTGTGCCTAAGTTTTCCCTGCAGAGAAGCTGTCGACAATGATTTGATATCAATCCAGTAACAATCCCTGGTTTCTAATAATAATTTGCACTTCAGTAGAAATGTTCATGTGAGGCTCTGAGAGCATTTAGCAGATGGTCGTTAGTGAAGCTCCCCAGTTCTCCTGTGAGGAAGAGATAACAATTATGAGCCTTGTTTTACAGATGGTGACACCGAGGTGAGGCACTGAAAGGTGAAATAACTCTCCTAATTTTCCATAATGAGCCAGTGGCAACAGATCCATGAATGAAACCCAGGCATCCTGCTGCGATTACTCCACAAACCCTATATCCTTATCTTTCACAGGAAAACATGGTCAGAGAGATGAGCCTGGAAAGCAAAAAGCAAATGACTCAAAGGCAGGATTCATGACACATTTCTGGAAATAAGGAATTAGGTCTGGGTCAATAAATAACTGGGAAACCAGGGGGACGCAATCCGAGAGGCATGTGAAACAAGGATGGATGGAAAAGAAAGAAGATAATGGAAGGGAGGGGAAGGAAAACAGAGCAGCTCTGACTTTTTATTTCCACTCTTGGTTTCAATCAGCCTTGTAAAATTAAAGGTTAGGCTCTGAGAGAAAGGAGAAAGCTCCATCTGCTCCCGTGGGGATCCATCCAATGGGTGAGGCTTCAAACTGCGGCTAACAAAACCCTCCGATGGCTCCTCACCCTGCAGACAAGTGCCAGCTGTGGGGACAGTGCTTGTGTTTGGGTACCTGAGAGGCCGTGGGGAGGGCAGGGAAATGGGGCTGGATCTCTGGGAAAAGCAGCTGGAGCTCTGGGAAGAGCAGCTGGAGCTCTGGGAACGCCGTCTGGAGCTCTGTGAACACCGTCTGGAGCTCTGGGAACGGCGGCTCTGCCCCGCGGCATCGCCCACCAAACTGCGGCGGGGCTGGAGAGCTCAGCCTGGCTGGAGGTGCGAGGGCTGGAGCTCTGGGGCTAATTTTAGCTCCCACCTGCACTGGTTTTGCCTTTCTCGCCCAGCAGGGCTGCCCTGCCAGCGCTGAGGGACTGGCTGGTGCCCCGAGCCGCCCCGCGCGCAGCGCGCACACGCCGAGGGGAACGCGGCCCGGCCGTGCAGTTTATAAAACAGCCAAGTGGAAGCCAAAAGACTTGAGTCTAATCCCTCCAGTTAAGTCATCTAGATTCCTTCTCGCCACCAGCCATCTGATCTCAATCAGCAAATCTTGGCCTTCCTCTCCTGACCCAGCCGAGCGTGGTGCTGAGGCCTGAAGTAATCTGCATGCAAAATGCTTTAGTAATGATTCCTCCAGGAGGGGCTGCTTTGATTGTTATTTCCCAAAAGCCCTCTGATATGAAAGGGGCAGGCAAACAACAAAGGTGCCTTGGTAATGTTTGCCATCAATAATTTGTCAATGCTCTGTAATGTTCCTCCATTTATTTTCAGTGCCTGTGGTTAATAGAAGCCTATTGAAAGAGACCTATTTATATGCATGTCTTAAAAGCAATCACTGGGTATTAAATGGGATGTGCTTTTAGTCTGAAAGTGCTTCCAAGTGTCTATTAGTAGGATTCAGCAAGTAACTAAAACAGAATTAAACATCTGTGTCTTTAACATCACCTTTGGGTGCAGTGTATGCTTCAAAAACGCTGCAAGATCTTCACAGATTTATAAACTCACAGAATGGTTTGGGTTGGGAGGGACCTTAAAGATCATCCAGTCCAGGGACACCTTCCACTGTCCCATGTGCTCCCAGCCCCATCCAACCTGGCCTTGGGCATTTCCAGGGATCCAGGGGCAGCCACAGCTGCTCTGGAAAATCCATCCCAGCCCATCACCACCCTCACAGGGAACAATTCCTTCCCAAAATCCCATCTAACCCTACTCTCTGTGGGTCTGAAGCCATTCCCACTGGTCTCACCATGATTATATTGATTTCACCATCACCCACAGCACCAGAGAGCCAGAACTGGAACCAAAAGTCTGTTGGAGTGGTAACACCAGGAAAATCTGGGAGAGCAGCAATGATGTCTTATGGGCAAGATCTTGACTGGGAAGACTTGGAGAACCTCAGCCATGAGCACACCCATGGGTGCTCCTGCTGCAGGTGCCCCTCAGGGTGGGAGCTGCTCAAAGGCAGCTGGTTGGTGTGGGAACTGGCATGGGGATTCTGGAATGCCCACTGGCATATTTGCACTTTGGAAGCCAATCCTCGTGCCCGTCCAGGAGGGCTCCCTAAGGAGAGGAGAAAAGATGCAGAAGGGCAGTTCTGTTCAGCCCCAAGGACCCCAACTTTCCCTCTTCTCTTCCTCACTTCCCTGTGATGTTAGCTGGGATGACTTCACAATTTCATACATGGAGCAGGCAGGAGAGGCAGAGGAAACAGGATCTGCCATTTTCAACCCAGATAATTGCATTACAAAGCCCAGCACGGTTTTCATTATTGTGCCGTGTTCAATCAACCTCCATCCCAAAGGTGCACACGGATCTCAGGCTATTCCAGGCCTTGGCAGCTGCTTTGCTGTACTTGCTCCTTTTTATTTTTTTTTTTTTTTCATCTTGGGGCTTTTAAAATTGATGGGAGGCTGAAGGCAAGAGCTGATGCATTGTAGATGACAACAAAAGAGGCTCCATAAAATTGCTTTTGGCATCTCGTGTGCGTTCCGTCTACATCTTATAAATTACTGCTGCATTACAGCGATAAAAATAGGTTAGTATTTGGAATTGATTACAGTGAGATAAAGCTCTAATAAAAAAAAAAAAAAGCACTGATGCATAAATATTCTGAGCATACAGGGGTAATTTGATTTGATAAAATAAAAATATGGCTCTTAATTTCTTCCTTTTAAACAGAACACACACGCATGTGCAGCGCTGGGAGAACTTCAGCAGCTGTTCAGTTCAGCATTCTCAGAAATGGGTCTGTGCCTCTTGCAGCTCTTCCCTCCAGACATTTTTATGGCAATCTCTGCATCACCAGCATTCCCACTGCTGGGTTGTAACATTCCTGCTGCAATCCCAAAGCGTTCAGCCCAAGCATCCCTGCTTCTTCCAGGTGGCAAATATTGATTTTCCTCATACCTCAAAACTTCTCTCATTCTCTTCCCCACTTCCATGTGACATTAGGAATCACTTCACAATTTCATACATGAAACAGGCAGGGGAGGCAGAGGGAACAGCATCTGCCATCCCATCAACCCAAATAATTGCATTACAAAGCCACATTTCAAACCTGTGCCACTCAAAGCTTTTTATTAACCAGGCTGGGTCTCTGGAGTTCACTGTGCAGCACATCAGCTCTGCAGCCCTCACTGGGACTGCAGGATCAGCAGAGGGAGCTGGGATATTGTTTTCTGCAGTTCTAACACAAATGGAAGGATAATTTTATTTACAGGAGGAGGAGGGAAGCAGCGATTCATGTTTCAGCACGAGCAGCCCAACACGCTTCACTCCAGCAGAGCGGTTTGGCTCACACAACGAACTCAGGGTGAACACTGGCCTTGCTTCAGGACAAAAGGACAAAAAGTGACCTGAGAGCCACCCTGGACAGAAAGGCAGGTAGCAGAGATGGGGAATGAAGAAACACAGCAAAGCAGCACATCTGTCCAGCAGCCCAGCCCAGCCCTTGGTCACACAGCTGGAGGTGCTGAGCCTCCCACCCAGCAGAGCCCAGCCTGGAGCGATGCTGGGCACGGGGCTGGGTGCCCTGGAACCCCTGGCAAAGCTGATTTTGGGGAGGGCTGGGGGCAGGAAGGCGCTGCTGCCGTCCCTGCGGGCCCTGCCTTTGATGTGGGCTGGACGGGATGTGGCTGCGCCTGCCCCCGCCAGCCCGAGCAGGGAAAGGGAAACCAGCGCTGACAATTATCCCTGCCGAGCAGCTTGAGCATTCCTGAGCTTTCAGTAATGGATGATAAGCTGTTGGGAGTAAGATGATCCCCAAAAACCTCCCATGACAATGGCAAAAGCAGCCCAAAGCGTGTCCTGACACAACTGGTATCATTTCCACCGAGGGAAACACAGGTAGGCTGAGAGAACGTTCCTTTTAAATTTCATTTATTTATTTTTGTGTACATTTCCCATAATTCGACTGACATACCATTGCTATAAAGATGCCCTGCTCTTTGAATATTTCCATCCAAGACCACTAGTTTCAAGTGTGGTTATGAAAAGTCACGGCAAACATATGACTGGAAAGAGGTGGTTGGTTTTTTACTTCCAGGCAGTTGTTTGAAGCATTTCAGAGATGCACACGATATTCAGCAGAACACACGCACGCACAGCGCTGGCTTACACACACGCACACGCACACACACATCTGGAAAACTGTTACAGTGGTTGAAGTCTCCAAAAAGGTGTACTGTCCCCTCTCAGCAGCAGTGAAAAATCTCTGAGTATCCTGAGAAATCAAATCAAAGCACAGTAAAGAGGAGTAACTTATCCCATCAGCAGGGTTTGGGGTTGGTTGGGGTTTTTTTCCCCAAGCCAAATGTATTTTGCCAATCTGATTGAAGTGAAGAAAAGGAAGAAAGAATCTGTGGCAGTGAAGGTTAAAGAAACCAGTTCAGCACGGATCCTAAAAGCATCTCATTAAAACAACAACAACATGGAGTAAAAGCCTCTCAAACATTACACACACAGTCCTACTGTCACTCTGCTACCCCTGCTCATCTCCAGAGCACCAGGAACAGCAGAGATGGGTGAAGGCAGCACAGGGACGTGCAGGTGGGCAGCCAGGTGACCTCAGAAGGGCTCTGGGGCACGGGGACAAGCAGTGAGCGTGGCAGTGCCTGACTGGTGGGACCCGGCAGTGCCTGCACCTGGCTGGGAACGGGAGCTCGGAGCACCCACCCTGCACAGGGCAGCTCCAAACCCTGGGCAAAGCCCACGGGACACTGCCAACCAGCCAGTGCCACCTCACAGCCCTGCCAGTGCCACCTCGCCCCCTCCAAGCTGCCCTGGCTGGCCAAGCACCCTCCCCACGGCTGTGATTCGGGTGCTGCCTCAGGCTGTGGTGGTTTGGATTCTCCCAAGGAAAGAGTTCCCTCCACAAGGCTGGAAACTGAAAATCACCCACGCTGCTCTGTGCTGCCTTTAACCCAGCACCAGCTCTGCCCCTGCTCCCTGCCTGCAGCCCAGGGCTGTCCTGAGGGGCTGGAGCTG